TATCTAGTTTCCCTGCAACAGCCAAGCAATGAGGTGGGGAAATATAAATATACATCTTTATGACCACAGAAGCCATCATAATGAGAGAGCTGAATGAATGTTTCCCTTAAGGTGAAGTGTTTGATTAGCGGAGGGCAGAGGTTAGTGGCGATATGCTGATACAGGGAAACGAGAATGATGGCTCAGGCCGGGCGGGGGCTGTGGAGATGACCGCAGAGCAGGACCGAGCTGAAGTAAGGCCTGTTCGTACATGCTAATCGAGCTTTAAGTCATTTGTGATGAAGCCGATTTCATCATCAGGTGCTAAGGGCTTACGGAAAAACTGGGGAATTCATGAAAAATGTTCTGAAAGAAACTTTGATAATTTAAGAACATAATGCTTCACTCATTTCAAGATACACAAGCAAGCATTTTTATCTTAGACGCAAACTTTTGAAGTTGAGTCACTGAAATTTGATCTAAAATTTGCACAATAAATTTGGGGGAGTACGATTTTTTTTTTACGGAATAATTCTATTGAAAATTGATGCTGCATTAAAATTGATCAAAAATATATAGATGCTATATTATATATATGCGCACACACACACATACATATATATTTTGAACTTTCATTCTATTCATCAAAGAATCATCAAAAAATATTTCATAGTTTACTCAAAAATATTAAGCAGCATATCAGAATAATTTCTGAAGGATCATGCGACACTTAAGACTAGAGCAAAAGCTGCTGAAAAATACACTTTGCCATCACAGAAATAATTTACTATTAATAATTAATTTAAAAATGGACTAAAATAGAAAATAGTTATGTAAAATTGTAATAATATTTCTCAATTATATTTATATATTTTTCCAAATAAATGCAGCCTTGGTGAGCATAAGACACTTCTTTCAAAAACATTTTTTAAATAAATCTTATTGACCCAAAACTTTTAAACAGTAGTGTATGTGTGAACTCTCCAAACAAACTCAAACAAATGAAAGTTGGGTTTCAAATCATGATAGAAATATATATGTATTGTGCTATACGAAATATAATTTAAAAAAATTCAGCTAAACACTTACTGCATTTATTGCCCTACATTTGAACAAAAAAAAAATCTATCATAAAAATAATAATAAATGCATAAATAATCAAATAAAAAATAAATAATCTGAGATTGATTCCTTTAATGGAATACTATAAATCAACTTCCTCTTTTCAAAAGAAAATGGGAAAGCCTAGAGCTGCCAGATCAGTCAGTTTTTAATTGAAAACTATTTCACTGGAAGTCCTGGAAGTAAAATACTTGATCAAGGATCTGGCAAGCCAGGTGTTTTTACTTGCCATTTAGCAATGGATATGGATCAGCCTAGCCTTATTTACAGCTTCAAACCATTAGAAAAGACAGCGGCACACTCACTGTTCAACTCAAACACAGACTAACTAACTACCATAAAAAGGCAGAAGAGCAGATAATGCCTTACCTCTTAATTAAACAAACACCTCTGCCTTACTTAATCACTCAGTCCACTCACTCTCCCTCTGTGCATCATAAAACAAAAGAGGCCTGACTAAGGGGACATTCAATGACCCTGTCCACACCACCATCCAACTCTTGACCCTTAAATCACAGGCCCTGTGGCAAGGGAACAGGGTGGGCTGTGGGTGGCAGCAGTGGAAAGACTGACACGGTGTTACGGCAGTAAGTAATGCACATGTGGATTAGCAGTATGATGGCCTGATCAATACCGGCAGTTCCAGCCATTAGGAATGCAGCAGAAAACGACCCCCTATGGCAATAAAGCACAGTGTCCGCATGCTACTTCATTTGCTGCCTCCATTAGTGTAATGGTATCATTATCAACTGTGGTAGTATTTTTTTCTAACACTCCCACCCTCCCTCGTTCCCTCGCCTGTTTTTCCATCTTTTCAGATTTCAGGAATCAGAAGTCATGAGCTGCACGGCACTGCCTCCTTATTTTTTCTTTCTTTTTACATCACCGGATATAAATCTGCCCCTAGCGTGGCTTGAACACAGGTCTAATTATGTATTCTTGAGTGTGTTTTATGTGGCTGTCCGACACTGTTTCTCTATTATGGACTCATTAATAGGACGTAGGCGTACGGTGACGAACGGAGAGGGGGAAAACGACAAGGGGGGCAGAAAAGCTGCTGATTACGCCAAAAGTGACACCACCTCCCGTAAAAACACCAGCTTCGACATGACAGCGGCTCGGCATTAAGACCTATAAATCGTTACTTTAACACTAATTTACAAAGGAACATTTTGTGGGAGAAATTGATTAATCAAGACTGGCTATGTGGCCTCATAATCAGGCCTGAACTGAAGCTAGCTGTTAATTTAACAGAATTGCCAAGGGGAACACAAACCATTTTAATGAGTGTTCACGAATGAAATAGCCTAAACAGCTTTCTCTAGCAAACACATGAGCTGAGAAAGTCAATGAGCCGAGAACTCTCTGAGTGATGGGCCGGGAGGAGTGCAAGCCTCTGAACATCTGGCAACCCTCTGTACTCTGCCACTCCAAAATAATGCATTTAGTTATTTTTATTTACTAATTTCTAATCTTGGTTTATTTATCGACTGTTTTTTTTTCACAATCAAAAGCACTATACTTCACAGTACAAGCAGAAAATAACATCACGCAGTCATCAAGAAAGGTATCAAAAGCAGCAGCAGAGGCCAACAGAGTTGTGAGCGCGAAAAAATAAAACATGCTCAACAGATTGATGAAAAACAATAAAGTGCTTTTCTAATTAACAACTGTTAAGAAAGAAAAACAACAGGGCCCACATTCTCCTGCAAATGCAATAAAACGGTCAAAATGGCATTTATGATTGAATAATACTTCAGTGGGATCTTTGTGGTCACCCTGGCAACGTTAAAACCAGTAACTATGATTGTCCAATGTCCCTTGATCAACTACTAAAACAGTATTTTTGGGTTGAAAGCCATGTAAGGTCACTTCTAAAAGGATGAAGTCAGTTTTTAATAGGCTATTAGCCAATAGTCTTCCTCTTTTAGTGCATGATAATGGAAGTGCTCTTTTTATCATACATATGTGCCACATATGGTTAGGAAATGCCTGGTAAAGCTGAACTAAGGATAAAAATAATTCATTTTTGAAATGGATAGTTCACAGGCCTTCTGCTGACATCCATCCACATCCTAGTTACTGGGCACAAATGCACACGTTTATGGCTGAGACAACAATGTACTCCCTTTTATTTATTATTATGATTAAATGGACCTGCATTTTTATATTTAGGAACCGCAGGAATACACACCAGACCCTCAGTCTAGCTGATCTGTGGTTTTCTTCCCAGATCGGTTTATTTTTATGAAGAAGAGAGATAAGACAAAGTGAGATGGGGCAGGGTAACAGACCTGTCTGTCTGTCCGTCTGCTGTACAGACCCAAAACCAGCTGGATCAAGTTCTCAGGGACTCATCTGGTCACTGTGTCAGCTGCAATAAAGTGGAGGAACCATGTACTACATAGATTCCCTGCTGTCAGGCATGATCCAAAAGCATGCCATCAGAAAGAAGACTAAAAGTGAACAAAAAAAGAGAAAAAAGGAGTGGAAAATGAAACAGGAGGTTATAGAAAGAGAGAATTGAATAGATAGGCTGCTGACAGAACTTCTCAACTTTGCTGACTCATTTGAAATGCAAACAAAATGCTGCATTATTATATGTATTTTGGTTATCAAACTAATCCCTCTTAACCACAGACAAGTTCAGAAAGTGGCATGTCAACTTGTCAAGTTCAATTATAAAAAAATTTAATATTTTCAAATATGCCGGCATGTTAAACATTACTTCCAGAGATCAGTGCCAAACGAGTAAAACACAATATTTGCAATAATTAATTTGCACCATATCCAAGAAAATGATTACATTTTTCAGAGATTACTAGTTTTTATTAGAGCTCAGCGTCAGAAACTAACTTCTTCATTAAAGGGACAATACTTGCTCCTGATTTTTGTGGCATTCTGTTGCTTTATGACATTTTTTTCCCTATCCATTAAAGTGCCCCTATTATGCCTTTTCGAATATTACCTTTCATGCAGTGTCATGTAGCTGTATGTGAACATAAAAACATGACCCATTTTTAAATACTCCAAACCTAAAAGAAACTTGACACGCCTAGTATGGAATAACAAAATATAAAAGGATATATTGGAAGTATAATTTCTTACCACTGCACTAGCAACACCGAGATCATGGGTTTGATTCCCAGGGAATGCATGAACCGATAAAATATATCTACACCTTGAATGCAAAAAGCTGTATGATAATAATATTTACTGTCCAAGTATCTTTTGAAGTGGCTGTGTAATAATCAGGGTTTATTCTGTGATAAAGACCACTGTATCTACTTTCAGGACCAAAAAGCTTCACACTATGATGCTTCAAAAAAATGACACTGAAAAAGTAACTGATTCGTTTAAAAACAGCTGCACCACAACAGTTATTTCTTTTACACCGTCTCTGCAAAAATTAAAAACACAACATGTCCGTTTCCTGGCCAGCTCGTGGATGAATCTTCTGTTTAGTCAGAAAACAGATGAAAACAAGACACATAAGTAAAATAAAGTAGGTTTAGCAGAGACACCTGCAGAGTGACAGACACCTGGACACGCGTCCTGACTTCATTCATTACTACCACGACTGAACACGCTGTAATGCCGCCACACAAGCCACTCCAGCAAAGTCAGTGTGTGGCAGTCATGAGAAAACACTCCCCTCGCGCTGTGCCTCAACACACACTCGCGTGCCGGATGACTGTGCGCACACAGAGACAAAACTCCGATAGATAAAAGAAGGGAAACATTACAAGAGCAATCAGCAGCATCACATGCGCACTTCAAATGAACACACAGCAGCAACCAGTGCGTGCAATACCGCCACGGACACACTGAACGGTGTCTTACAAACTCCACAACTACATGTGATGCTTGGCGATCTGAGAGAAAACTACAAGCGATACCTTTCTCCTCTTTTCCCTCTCACTGTCATCCGATCTTTTCATGTTCCTGAAGTACTGTTTACGCTGCCTCGGTTTCATAGCGCGCAGAGCTGGGTGATGTAGTCTTTAGATTGTGCCGTTAGCGCGTAAACTTTTCTTAAGCGGATTTAAATAGAATCTTAGCTATGTTTATGATATTATATGAAACTTGTATGATAATAAACCTGGTGTTGTTATTTTACATTGGTGTTTTATTTTAAAGTCGCTATCAGCATTCCGGTCAGGACTTCATTTTCCAGAATCCTCGCGCCAGGAAAAAAACCACGCTTGTAATTTGAGTCAAACCGGAAGTATATACAGGCTCAGTTGTGCTGTGAGAGGTTTCTAATGGATTTTATGCATATGAGGTGCTCAACGTGATGTTAAAAGAATGATTGTTTTACCAAATGTGTAGAGTACATATTGATAATGTATGTATAATAATGTATGTTTATTGTTATATATATTGCATTGTTATATAATGTATAACTAGCTCATGAAGGCAGAATTTGCCTACACGAGTAATAGAAACTCAATTTAGAATAGAGATCAGGTATCCTTTTTTAACATGTTCAGATTGAATATGAAATAAACATCACATTGTTTTTGTTATTGGGGCCAGGCTTTCTGACATTTTCAGGAATATATAAATAAATATATATCAGGGGCGTTTCCTCCGAGGAGGCAATGTAGGCAGTGTCTCCTCAAAAAATTGGATGAGAAAATAATCGATATTACAAACATACATCGCAAATATTACTAAATATGGCATTAAAAGTATAAAAGTCACTCGTTTTTATAAAGTAACACTGTCAAACAGCGACACCCGCAGGTAAAGTTACAGCTTCCAAACTATTCTAACTCAAACTTACAAGGAAAACATTTTTCTTAACACTGGTGGTGGCTGTGAAGTCATGTGACCGTAGTGTCGGTCGTTTAGCTTTTTACTTCTGGCAATTGTAGTTAGAGTTTAAATATAAAAGTTTGTGAAGATTATCACGATGAACAAAATGTTGCAATTATGACATTATAACCAGTGTTGCCAAGTCCGCGGTACTTTAACACTGTTGCCGCGGGTCGTTTTTCCAATAGGGTCTGGCTGCAGACATGCACTTGCATTTTCAGACTTGCACTCTCAGACTTGCACTCTCACACACCTGCACTTCCGCGAGTGACGTCACTTGCAGTCTTTTTTTAATTTTTTTAATTGATTAATAATTTTTTTAATTGAATCTCTCAACATTTTGAGAAGGGTCTGGCTGCAGACATGCACTTGCATTTTCAGACTTGCACTCTCACACACCTGCACTTCCGCGAGTGACATCACTTGCAGTCTTTTTTTATTTGTAATTTAATTTAATTTATTAATTATTTTTTTTAATTGAATCTCTTAGCATTTTACACAAGTAGCCAGGTGGTGAAGACAAGAAAAAAGAAACTAAATCACGAAGTCACTTGCAATCGGCGCTTGCACTCTCAGCTAGGCTACTTGCAATCCACACGAATCGTGCGTGTTGCCAATGGAGACAAGACGCTGGTGGTTAAATGATTAAAACTAATTTAGTACTAGGCAGGATCCTGCAAGTCATCATATAGGAGAAAAAGACAAGACCCGCAAATCCGTGGCCACAGAACAGCAGAATATGAACGCAATGCGCAAAGTGTCTCATTAAGCGCTTTTAAACCTCCGTAGAAAACCATACACTTAATATGGCTTAATGTGTTAAGATAGTGCTATTAAAAGATCAAATTCGATATATAGTTATTATTTAATGTACTACAAGGCAAGCAGATGGCCATGAACATATTAAATGGACCAACTCTATTCTGGTCTCACCTGCTTATCTGTACATTTTAACTGTGTTTTAATAATGAAGAGGAGCATATGAGGTGTTTATAATCTTAGACCGTTATGCCACATTATGCCACCTTTTGCGGTATGGGAGGAAAACACTATATACATACATTATATTAATAAACTATATTTGATCTTTTAATAGCACTATATTAATACATTAAGCCATAGCCTATTAAGTGTTTATGGTTTTCTACGGCGATTGCAAGTGACTTTGTGATTTGTGATGGGGGGAAAAAATTATAAATGAAATGAAATAAAAAATTAAAAAAGACTGCAAGTGACGTCACTCGCGGAAGTGCAGGTGTGTGAGAGTGCAAGTCTGAGAGTGCAAGTCTGAAAATGCAAGTGCATGTCTGCAGCCAGACCCTTCTCGAGGCTTGCCTCCCTTCGCTCCATAGACTTTCTACAGAGACTCTAAAGCAGGGGTGCCCAAACTCGGTCCTGGAGGGCCGGTGTCCTGCAGAGTTTAGCTCCAACCCTAATCAAACACACCTGAAACAGGCCAGCTAATCAAGATCTTACTAGGCATACTATAACTTCCTGGCAGGTGTGTTGAGGCAAGTTGGAGCAAAACTCTACAGGACATCGGCCTTCCAGGACTGAGTTTGGACACCCCTGCATGCCGTGTCTTTTCTGGAGGCTAATTGAGATGAATGGGAGAAAGTCACGTGAGAGGAGGCAAATCAATAATTGGATATTATCGGTTATGATTGGATGTGATTGGTTCCAGCAATAAATCCCGCCTCTTGTTTTCGTGTGAGCTCTCGGCCTGAATGAAGAAAATGATGGCATTATTGACTAATTATAAAGTAAGTAAACAACTCGCCCGCTTAGATACCACTACTTTGTGTCACGTCAAAATAAAACTTGAAATGGTCTGAAAACGTGATGACTGCGTCAGTTTTTAGTGAGCATTCAGCGTGATGAAATGAAAGATATATATTTGTGTCTGTTGCAGTGTTTACAGAGCTTTTATGACGATAACCCGAAAATAATTTGACTATTAAAAAGAACAGCTGAACATCGTTCACAAATAAAAAATATTGGTAACATTTTACAATAAGGTGTCATTTAATGAGTTAACTAACATGAACAAACAATGAACATTACAGTATTTATTAATCTTTGTTTACATTAGTTAATACAAATACAGTTGTTCATTGTTAGTTCATGTTAGTTCACAGTGCATAAACTAATGTTAACAAACAACTTTTGATTTTAATAATGCATTAGTAAATGTTGAAATTAATATTAACTAAGATTAATAAATGCTGTAGACGTAGGCTATTGTTTATTCTTACTAATGTTAACTAATGAAACCTTATTGTAAACTGTTTCCAGAATATTGTTCAAATTACTGCCTTTAGTTATTATTTTGGAATAAATATAAAAATGCATAAAAACACT